AATGTATGCAGATAAAACATAGGGAAGTTAAAGTTCTACAAAGGCAAGGCAAGGTGCGAAAATCCAGAAAATTTTGCAGCTACTTCCAGGAGAAATTTTCATTCTAGAAGAAAACATAGAAAGATAAAGAGTTCCTTAAATAGGCTTTGCTCCAAGAGAAGAAAGCCACACTTGGAAACATGTACACATCCACAGCCCTATGGATAAGTCTAGGTGTGTCATTTCGCTTTGGGGTTAAAGTCTTAGTTTATTTACGTGGAATAAACACAACAAAATCAGGTCCCACTAATCATGCAAGTTAATTCATAACCAAGTAACCCAGTGTCTTCAATACACGTAGTTATTTTGATTTGGCCAAGAACTACATTTACCACTTCAACAATAATTCTTTTTTGGGGTGGAGGGGTACTGGGGATTGAACTCAGGGGCACTCAATAACTAAGCCACATCCCCAGCCCTATTTTGTATTTTATTTAGAGACAAAGTCTCACTGAGTTGCTCAGTGCCTCGCTTTTGCTGAGGCTGGCTTTGAACTAGTGATCCACCTGCCTTAGCCTCCTGAGCTGCTGGGTTTTTAGACATGTGCCACTATTCCTTGCTTCAACAATAATTCTTAACATTTAAGATTTTGTATCAAACATTCTTTCTAGGAGAGACTCATGCATCCCTGATATTGAATACAACATTGTTATCTATATGTGTTTTCTCAAGGAAGATAATCATAGTTTACATCATATGTAAAGCTAAACCTCATCCCAAAATGTTAACAAGAAACAGTAAATAAACAAATTGGGATATTTTAATTATTAAACAAGATGAGGAGGAAATATTTAAAAACCTAAAATACCCTTATTGCAGTAAGTATATCTCTCCTCCCTATTACAGTATAGTTTTCCCCACACTATCATGACATCAACTCAAAAATAACTTTAGAATTTCTGCTTTGCAGATTCCAACTATCCTACATGATCTCATATGGTTCCAGGAAAGGGCTTCTACATCTGAAAATGCTTCCCTATGTGCTTCAAAAATATATAAAGTCATTTCATTAAGGGCAAAGCCATTATTCTTCAACAAGTAATAAGGTTTACAATGCAAATGTCCTGGAACATTTTAAGTAATGCATTAAAAGCCCCACGCTGTGGTATGCCTAATGGTGATCAGACCTTTCCTGAAAACAGTTCTTGGCTCCCACACCAGAGCCAGTCCAAGCCTGCTGTATCTCTCTTAGGTCAATTTCCAGTGGAATGGATTCACTTCAGATAAACGGGACCATGAGATGAGAATGCCCAGGGAGCTTACCAACCTCCTCCTTCTAGGCTTTACATTCAAAGAGAGATGACGCTGGAAGAAAGGAGAATTCTGTGAATCAATTTCTCTCAGTACTCCAAAAATCTCCACAAATAGTTCAAAGTATGGCCTCTAGTTTTTAGCAGCAACCTGTATGAAAACAGGAGTCTAAAAGATGTCTCTAAGAAACACAAAAAATAGAATGGGTTGAACATTGGAATCTCACTCCCTGAGCTGGTTGAATGTTGATACTGAATGGATAAGTGAATTATCAGGGAAGCTGTAGAGAAAGGCATTGACCTCAAATATCTTTGTTGTACTTTTTCTGTATAAAAAAATTTAATTACTCACTCTCTTTATAAGAATATTTTGAAGACATGGTCTGTCTTCCTTAGAAACCATTGTTTCTCTGCTTTGTATGTACTATCCACAGTATGATATTTCTCTTTTATACAGCGATGGTGGTAGTAGATAATAGTTGAAATTTTAAGTGTGTTTACATGGTAAACAAGTGTTAGCAACTCTGTTAGTCTGGTTTGTTTAAGCTGGCCTGTGAAATGTACAATCCACTACATTAGAGAAAAGAAAAACTGATAGGGCTTAATTAGGGCTGCTAGATAAAAAACGGAAGGAACAGATAATTCAATTCTTTTCTTTCTTGCCATAGTGACTATTTATTTTCAAAATATTTATTTGACACAAAGCATATATTCAGAATGTGTAGTGTGATTATTTAATATGTGTATACAGAGCCAAGATCAAATTAATTAAGCCCTCCATCAACACTTATAGTTACCCTTATGTGTGTGTGTGTGTGTGTGTGTGTGTGTATATATATATGTGTGTGTGTACATCCTGAAGACAGAAAATCTGCTCTCTTATCAAATTTTAAGTATACACTAGTATTAAATATAAATCACATGCTGTGTGTTAGGTCTCCAGAATTCATTATTCATCTCATACTGAAAGTGTATATCCTTTTGCCAATATCTCCCCATCCTTCCCACTTCTCCAGCCCCCAGTGACAACTGTTCTAATCTCTGCTTCTAGGAGTTGGAACTTTCTGATTTCCACATATTAATGAGATCATGCAATATTTATTTTTCTGTGCTCAACATTTCACTTAGCATAAGTTCCTCTGGTTTCAACCACATTGTCACAAATAGTAGGATTTCCTTCTTTCTAAGGCTGAATAATAGTCCACGGTATGGGAATGTTTATCCATTCATCTGTAGATGGACATTCGAAGTTCTTCTGACTCTATGCTACTGTGGATAATACTACTACTAACATAAATGTGCAAATATCTCCCTGGGCTTCGATTCTTTGAGGTATAAATCTACAAGTGGAACTGCTAGTTCCATGGTGGCTGCATCCTTTCACTTTCCCACCAATAGTGTACAAGGATTCTACTTTCTCCATTAGCCATTGTAGTAAGTAAGAAGTGGAATTTCCCTGAGATTTTCATAGCATTTCCCTAATGGCTAGTGATGCTGAGCATCATTTTTGTGTGCTAATTGGCCATTAGAGTATCTTCCTTAGAGAAATGTCTATTCAAGTTCTTCGCCTGAAATATGAATTGCAGATAAATAATGAGTAATTGTCTCAGTTTAGATAGCCCTCACACAATTTTGACAATATAAGTATATTTGAAAAAAAATGTGGTATTTATCTGAAATTCAATTTTCACTGGGTGTCCTGTGTTTTTATTTGATAAATCTAGCAACAGTAGAAAGTGAGAACTTCAGCAGATCTTAAAAAAAAATCTTTAAATATTTCACAATTTTGCCAAGGTGAGCTCTGAAATAGTTCAAGGTATTTTTGTGAGTGTTTGGTCGGTAGCCCTGCTTTATTAAAAAATTTGTAATTTCATTTTGAGATCCTCTAGACTAAATCATTTGAGCTTCACAGTCTTTGTGTAACATTATTGGACTCCCTTAATGAAATTATAACTCAAGCAAGATATTTCATTCTCTTGTAGTAAATTAGCTTGGGCCGTTAGAGTTCAGAGAGAGCAAATCCTTCCCTGGGTTTATTCTTCTTGTTTGGTAGAATGCAGAAGGAGCAGGCGTTTTATATTCGGGTTATTTATTGTTCTCTTTGTGTGAACATTATATTGTTGCCTGTCCCTGTTGGAAACAACAGCTGTTAACAGGCTTCTGAATGAATTTCAATGTGAACTCCCCTGGCCTCTGGATAGCTTGGCTAAGGAGAAAACAGGCTCAACCTCAGGAAAAAAAAATAAAAATAAAAATAAAGGATCAGGTTTCAGGCTGCGTCCAGATGCCTGAAGGCTAAGGGCATATAAAACCACCAGTGAGCATTTTCATGAGGAAAAAATATCACACTTCGATCAAGGTATACAGTGCCAGTGGGAGCCCCCCTGGAGACAGTGCTCCTCTGTAGTGCCAGAGGCAGACAAGGCGCAGAGTGCAATGTGAACACTGAAGCCCCACTAAAACACCCTGCCCTTAGGGGTGGATACCCTCAGAGGAGGGAGAAAGACATCAGATATCAAAGCAACTAAGCCTTTGGTAGAGCCTTCACCCAGCAACTTGGTAAGAAAAGAATAAGTCACTCTACCGTAAGTCTCCACCACACTGAATAAGTAGTGATGGCATTTCCATCCGTAGCCTTTTAATAAATGTGGTCAATAATCCATCCTGCGGATGCAGGGGCATCAGTGGGCAGCTGAGAATCCCTGGGCTGAGGGGCTCATGTGCTGTGTCTCTAGCAGGCTGGGTTCCGGTGCAGCAGTTTCTACGCACACAAATACTCTCAACTCCTGGCCTTTAACTTAGTCAGTGGACATCCTCCTTGGGCTCCCTTCCTTGATCATTTTTTTTTTCTCCCAAAATACCTCCAACCTACAATTCCTTCACCTCTTTGTTTAAGAAGAGTTTCTAAAACTATGGAGGAGACATTTTATTGGTCTTGAGTGGCATTTTCTAGTTTGGTCCATTTTGCCAACTGTGCTGTGCTTGATGCCTGGTACCCAGGATGCTTGGCCACCTTACTTTTGACTTCCTGGCTACAAGGGCATTGACAAAGCACAGTTCTGGAATTGCATCCTCAGCATCCGTCATACTTGGCCATTTCCAGGAGGGATTGTCCAGATCCCCTGCCCTCACTATTTTTAGGCCCGTCTGACCCCTCTTAGACATCTGCTCAAACGCCCACTAGGTGACATGGCTATGGTTTTAAAAGCCCATTATAGTCATGCATTTCAAGCCCCTAAAAGAAATTCTCCATAACAAGGAATAACAATTGAATATAATATAATAATTATAATGAGGAATAATAATGGTCTGGTTCTCTATAAATTATGAATTGTTTTACTCACCTTAGTTCCTCTCTGGGATGTGACCTTGCTATGATGGGCTCTGGCTCACCCACCTGGTAAGTAGATGCAAGGTTGCTACCTGAAGACAATTATTGAAAGTTTTAAGGGACATGGAATGAGAGCAGGGAAGATGCCAAATATAAGCGAAGAAAGATGGAAATCATAAAGTTTCAAATTGAATGGAGAGAGGAATTTGATAAAATGCTGTCAGAAATTCAATAAAAGACAGAGCCAGAATGAAGTGTCTAAAACCAGAACGACCTTTCCACCTCCCTTGTCCAACCCCTCGGTAATAAGAACATATGAAAGCATTGAGTTCTTCTGAAACTCGATGTCAAAAGTGCATTTCCTATTCTTCTCTTTCCAGACAAAGTAAGCATATTGTCCACCTTCCTCGCTCCCTTCAAGTACCTGAGCCCTGGCACCACCAACACGGAGGACGAAGACAATCTAAGTAAGCAGCTCCCTCCCCTCTGCCTCAAAGTGTGGAGATGTCCTTGCTTGATATGGGGGGTTTCCTGCACTGTCCCTAAACAATAAGATCCTGGGGACCATGTGAGAGGGGCTCTGATCTTCCCCAAAGCAGGAGCTCTGCTCCCCTCCTGCCAGGGAAACCCACCCTCCTCTGCAATGCCATCCTTACCTGCAAGCACCTCCTCCCACATACTTCTGTCCTCACCTGGAATCTCACACTCACCTGAAGGCCATGATCACCTGAAACCCCATCCTTACCCAGGATCCTGTTCCCACTGCAATTTCATGTCTTACCTGGACTTCCACCCTCCATTCTTTTGTGGAGTTCCATATTTATCTGGAATCCTATCCTCACCTGGATTCTCACCTTCAGGTGCATGCTAATTCAGAGTCTTGTCTTCACCCACCATCTCAACCTCACCACGTCTCAACTGGAATTGCACCCTTCACCTCACCTGGCACCCTTACCTTGGGGTCAGGAATATATCAGTAATTTCTAAGTGACAGAGGACCCCAGGGATTATAGGAAATAATCCAGTTTTCTTAAACCATCTCCTTCTCCCTTTCCTTTGTTTTCCTCTTCAAACCAAAAAAGAAAAATGATTCTAGTGTCTTAAAACATGGTTTGTACCGCTATTGAACTAGGAAAGAGTTGGACTTGAGGCTCTGTGTTGAAACAGTTCTGGTGCATGAAACTGGAGAATCGCCAAATCAGAAGTGTCAGGGTCCTATTTTAAACAAAGCCAGTTTAGAAAAGGGATCCAAGCAGTCTCTTCTGCTCAGCTCAATAAGGACAGCCAGAGTAGACATTGCTGGTGATGTGTGTGTGTAAGAGAGAGAGAGCTAATCCTGGGAGCACTTGGCTTGCACTAAACTCTCCTCTCACTTGTAGCATATTGTAAAGCATTTAAAAGAGGCGGACAAAACATTCCCAACCATATGAACACCTTTTTTGAATTTTAATATCACCTAACAGATGGGCTACTTTTTCCCAACTAAAATGAGCTAAATTGTGCTTGTTGTGGGTTAGAGAAGAAGCAAGGTGGCTGCTAGGGTTGTTGCTTGGAACACAAAGAAGCCATGGCAAGGATTTCCATGGGAATGTTGTCCATCTTGCCATCAGTTTTTAAGAATCGCAGCACACCTGTGTGATGGACAGCCCCTCTCCAGTACTAGTGATGGAACGCAGAGCCTTGTACCTGAGAGGCAATTGTTCTACCACCGAGCTATAACCCAGTAATTTTTTATTTTGAGACAGAGTTTTGCTTTGTTGCCCAGGCTGGCCTTGAACTTGCAATCCCCCTGCCTCAGACTCCCAAGTAGCTGGGATTATAGATATGCACCACACACCCAGCTCAGACAACATAATTATTAATGCTAGTGAAAACTGAGTTTATTTCCCTATCTTACTCAACAAAAGCAAAATCATAGAATCACTCAAGGTTAGAAGCAGAGCAAACATTCATGATTATAGACTTGGATTCCTTCATTTTCTGGAGGATCAAGTGAAGGGATGGGGAACAGGGGAGGACTCCCCTGGAACCAGACAGGGACTCTTAACCCTGACGTCAGGTCTCCTTCCTCAGCAAGGCATGCAGTGAACACATGGCTATTTATATTATCTCATAATCTAAATTGGAAAATTTCCAGATCAGCCGGGTTATTGAGTTATTTCAGAAACCTTTAACACATGGAGAGAGAAATCTGAATGCATATGCAGGTGGGGTGGTGTTCTGACGCGTGGGCAGCGCTGTGTCGGACTCTCATGGCAGGAACTCCCGCTCTGCCTAATGCTGTCTGCTGCTGGAGCTGCTGGAAGCCTGGGGGAGTCCAGTCTCCTCAGGAGAAAAAAGAAGGGAAGTGGCGAGGGCTAGAGAATGCTGGGGAAGTGGAGAAAGTGGTTTTCAATGTACAGAAACACAGAAGCCACCCTTCAATAGCAACCAGAGGCCCAAGACCTTGAGAAATTCACTGTCTGGAGCTTTTGCAAAGTTCCTGTTCTGCTCCGGAGGTGTTGAAAAAGTGACCCACCATGAAACATCCCCCCCACACCACTGTCCCACAGCAGCAGACAGACTCCCTCCTGCTGCCCGCACAGTCGGGAAAGCAGAGCCTCCTGTGGGCTCCAGACACTTGGGATGCGCTCCTGCCCTCAGACTTGCCAGCCTGGCAAACTCGGACCGTGAATTTCTCCTCTCGGAGCCTCAATGCCTTGTTTGTAAGATGAGAGTCGTCAGCTCCCTAAATTATGGAGTTGAGGAGAGGCAAGGACTCAGAAACTTTCAGTCAAGATTGGCTAATGCTCATAATTATACCTGTTTCCCCCTAATAATAAATAAATTGATTTATTGATCAGTAGGTAAAGACTTAGAGATACAAATAAATTCTAATTGTTTAACTATATGTTAAAATGTTTTAGAAATGCTTGGGAATCTCATTTTCAATCAATGGATTGATTACCCCCTTTTATATAGATGCTGTTAATTAAGTTAGAAAATGTTATTATCGTGTTGTTTAAGATAGACCTCCAAATGAATGGGGCCTACCTTAATAGTTCCCTCTAAGTATTGTCAATGAAATCCTGCTGATTTGCTGTCTGAATGATACTGGAAAATGGAGAAAGATGTTGTGGATGTGATATGATGTGTGTGTGTGTGTGTGTGTGTGTGTGTGTGTGTGTGGTATTCTAGTGAGTATGTGGAGGTTTGTGTGATGTGCATGTGAACATGTAGTATGTGCATATATGTGTATGTATGTGTGCAGGGGGACACAGGTACATGGAGAACACACACGTGATCCTGCTCTGCAGCCTCACATCTTGTGCTCTTTCATCCTGGCGACCTGGAGTGTCCAGGCTGCTCTGATGTGAAGACAGTTCATATCTAACCATTGCATGGATTCAATCATTCGGTAATCTGCTGTGCTTCCCTGCCTCTGCCTGGATCCCTGGCAACCTGGCACATATCACAACTCTTGCCTAAAGGTGTGAGTCACTCGTCTTAAAGGCACTGAGAGGGGTGGCAGGGAACAGGGAACCAGGATACACACAGCACATACTCACTCTACCTGAGGGCAGCGATGTCAAGGAGGGTCCTAGAAGCCAATCGGCAGCAGGCTGAGTGTGGGCTGAGAGATGCCCATTCAACACCATGCTTTCAAGATCCACTGCCTTTCCTCATGAGCTCTGGAAACTTTCTCTTTCCAACACTGGCTCCCTCACCTCTGCTGACCACTACCCAGAGGTTGAGATTCAACCCAGATACCCCACTAGGAATGACCAAGATCAAGACTTCAGACTGGTCTCAAATCCCACACCTGCACCCTTGGGGATCTGGTGGAGGGAGTCTCCTAGCCTGCCATAGCTGCTTACCCCTGAATAGTGCACACTTGCAGTATGGCTTCATGGGGTCATGGATTATCTGCCAACTGTCTATCCTGATGCATCGTCATGCTACATGTCACCAGCAAATGCCAAGACCAGGTTTCTGTCTGCCAACCCAGCCCAAGGCCTCTGGGCATGCACCCTCACATGTCAGTTTTCTTGTGCACCAAGTCCTCCCTTCTGTGTGAATGAAAACCCAAGCCACCTGCCACTCTCCTACCAGTAAGCCCTGCCACATAGAAGAAGGGTTGTTCCTTTTTGTTAACTGGGGCTGCTTGGCAGCAGAATAACCTTCACCAGGAACAATATTATCTCTTCAAATGTAGCGTGGCGCCTCGGATGGCTGGTTCTCTGGAGCCCTCCTGACCTGGCAGACACGCCAGTGTCATTATTAGTGATGCATGTGATCCCAATGATGCCAACCCATGAAGGGAGCCGGGTGTGCATAATGACCAGGCGGTGGATGCTGGTTCACAAGGGAGCCAGAGGAGGAGGAAGAGGCCCATAAATAAATTCACAAGCGAGTCCAGGCTCCTGCACATGCAGCAGATGAATGATAGTAGTGAGGTGCCATCAAAAGACCCCGGCCTCCTCCTGGCATCCCCACTTTTGAATGATGGCAACTCAGGTCACCAGACATAACACAATCCCAAAGAATATAATTTCACTCTGACAGTAAAATTTAGCCACAGGTATGCCAATATCAAATTTTGCTCTTCCTCCCCAAAATGCAATTCTTTTAGTATATTAAACCTTTAAAGTTAGCACTGTGTTTACTGACACTTTTTGTCAAATGAGATAATGTGCTTATGAGGCTCAGGAGACAAGTCCATGTGTAAGAGAAGCAGAATGGAAATAATTTCATTTTACATTTTCCCGTACAGATGCCTCCCCGACTTAGACATTTTCTTTTAGTGCCTGGCAGGCTTCAAATTGCTCATGATTGTCCTATTACTGCTTGTGGTATTTATCTAATGTAGTTTGAAGTTATTTACCTGCCTTTTTTCTAATTTCCACAATGGAAGGACATATGTAACTCTCTAAAAAGACCTTATAGAAGTCACAGTTCACAGACGTCTCCTGTTAATATCGTCTTGTAGAATGAGACCATTTGCCAGTGTATCTAGGCTGAAGGGACTGTGGGCACTCAGGGATGCCACCCACCTAGTCTCAGTGGGGGTGGATTTCATTACAGAACGTGTTTGGAATCTACTCAAGAATTTTCCAAGGGAGAAGAAATGTGGTATGAGCCCCAGTGGGGCAGGTGAGGTTGGAGGTTGGTGGAGGGGCCCTGCCCTACTCCCACTCCCAGAGCCTCCCATCTCTGCCTCCCCACCAGAGTGGGTGCCCACGCACATACACAGGCTCTGGCTATGTCACATCCCAGATGCTGTTTACCTCCTGTAACCCTCTGTGGGCTGGTAAGAAGCAATGGCTTCTGGCCCAAGTTAGTGACCCCGAGAAGCATTCCAGGGGCTATGGTGTGTGTGTATGTGTGTGTGTGTGTGTGTGTGTGTGTGTGTGTGAGAGAGAGAGAGAGAGAGAGAGAGAAACAGAGCCAAAGAGGGAAGCAAGGGATGGAAACCTTTACATGAATC